CTAAAAATACATATATCCTTTAACAATGTACTTAACCAGTAGCACAGAAGGAAGAAACTAATCTATACGGATCTCATGTTAAGATTTTTTTTGCCAAATGTGATTTGAGAGTTCACCTTGGATCAAGCACAGTATTAATAGTTTCATTTGACCAATGTATTGGTGGGAGACAGTGATCCAGAAGATATTTCTACCTGTAACTATCAGTACAATCCTTGAAATATGAATATTTAAGCCTCGTAACACTGAAGTTTTTGATAATGAACATGATAAGGCATAACTATACTACAACTAAGGCTAACATCAGTTTATTACTTAAAACTTTGGCTTGCTTTCTACTTCCAACAAGTAGCTACTTGTTCCAACAAGTAGCCTTCTACTGCTAGATTTCTGAGGACACATTCTGTTGTACAGGGTTGGTTACCTTTTCAATTATCAAGGGAAAGAATTCATCTGCTTCCTTAAAGTAGAACCAATGAGCCTTTCTAGTAATGGTCATTTATGAAAAGATTCACTTTTCACTTTATGATAAACTAGACATTTATGTCCTCCTCATGACCATTTCCTGTGGAAAAAAAAAAAAAGCTTGCTGCACAGCTACAAAATAATTTGCTTTCTTCCTCCAGCTTCTTCAGGATTCTTCCTTGGTTCCATGTCACTGCTTTAAGTTTACTCACATTTTAATGCAGCTGACAAATCATAAATTTCATATAAACAAAATAATATTTCATAATCTCACATGCTAGTAAAAAAATCAATATGAAAACAAACATTATGTTACCCAATAATCAGTTTTACTGGCTTAGCCTGCCTAAAAAAAAAAAAAACCCAAACAAAAAACCCCTGAAAATGGAGGCTAGTAAAATTGCTCCAATTTCAATGCCTACAGAGCTTTTCTGATGGGCTTTCTTCTTGTTGTTTATTTAAGAAACATATCATTATATTCCTTGCCTATTGTCTCCACTAAAAATAAGACATTTGCATTAGGCCAAAGAGTTTCCTAAGATTTTAATAGGTAGAAAGAGGAATGAACAACTTAGTTTGTCCACTTTACCCTGGTTTGAAGTCATGTTTTTCTTTCTGAAAAAATCAAGAGGAACTACTGTAGTACTCTACATTAATCCACATTTAACTTTCTCAAATTTGGTTTGCTCAAGGTTATGTTTCACCATATTCACTAAAATTGGGCGACTGTGAATTGGTAGTCTAACAAAAATCCAAAGTGTGCCAGATATGAGCTGCAGTCACTTCAGTTTAAATCACATTCAAGCATCACTCCATGTACGCATTTTGATGCATTAAAATAACTGCCTTAATCTTTATCTGTGTTAGGATCGAATCACCCAGTGGACACTGGGAATTTAAACTAGTGAAAATAAATGTGTTCTGCAGACAGCAGCACCCTTTCCAGAGGTTCTCTGAGGGAAGCTTTAATTTGTGCTTAGGGCTTTGTGGGACCCCTTATAGTAAAGGTGCCTCGGGGACATGCTGAATTCACATCGCCATAGCACACGTGCATGTGTGTGCGCAGGAGGCCACACTAGTCACAGGTAAGACAGACAAAGCAAACGGTAGCTTCCCCCATCAGCTTTTCTATTATCTGCCCCACTTTGTGCCAATTTCCTCCAGCTTCCCCAACACCTCTTGCTTTGCTGTTCTTCCTTAAGACATGGGATGGGGATTTGTCAAAGTCAATGAGCACTTTATTACAGTGAGAGTGTTCAGTAATGAACAATTCAGCAATTTAATGAGATTCTGTAGATCTGTCTCCAGCCTGTCCATCAAGTTTCACTTCTATAAAGCACCCTGACACTAATCCTCTGGCATACCCAATCTTCACCCTGGGCTGAATATTAGATTCTTCCATGGTATATTGCATTACCACTATAACCTTAGCAAAAATGATGAACTTAACTACACTTGAGGCAATATAGCTGGTCTGATTTGATTTTCTTCTATTGGGTTGACTATGAGGGAATTACTTATTTACTAAGATAAAACCAAAAAACAGTTCCTTATTGCCTTCTGAATGCCTAAATTGGTAAATATTTATGTATGTCTTAATTCATTCTGGGGACCTGGAATATTTATAAATATATATTTAATCCTGGTTGTACAGACTGAATTAAAAAGACATAAACGTTTTGCCTGCAGCAGAAAACTAGTTTAAAAAAATTCTTCGGAACAGCATTAGTAACCTTTAGAGAGGCAATTACGATAACACTTAAATGGACAGTGTGGAGTTTGTTGTCACTCAAAAAGCAGCGTATTACCTATAAGCATCTCTCCCCAGTGTGACCCACAACAGAAACAGAACCTTTGTCAAATTTGCCCCATGAAGTGTTCACTGAATGGAGTGAGTACAATTAAGAAAATTATACCAGCAAGTTTGCTGACGACACAAAGCTGGGAGGAGTGGCTGATACGCTGGAAGGCTGCGCTGCCATTCAGCGGGACCTGGACAGACTGGAGAGCTGGGCGGAGAGGAACCTGATGAAGTTCAACAAGGGCAAGTGTCGAGTGCTGCACCTGGGGAGGTCAAACCCCATGCACCAGTACAGGCTGGGGGATGACCTGCTGGAAAGCAGCTCTGCTGAGAGGGACCTCGGAGTCCTCGTGGATGACAAGCTGACCATGAGCCAGCAGTGTGCCCTTGTTGCCAAGAAGGCCAATGGTATCCTGGGGTGTATTAAGAGGAGTGTGGCCAGCAGGGCAAGGGAGGTTATCCTCCCCCTCTACTCTGCCCTGGTGAGACCCCACCTGGAGTACTGTGTCCAGTTCTGGGCTCCCCAGTTCAAGAAAGATGAGGAACTCCTAAAAAGAGTCTAGAGGAGGGCAACTAGGATGATAAAGTGACTGGAGCACCTCCCCTACGAGGAAAGGCTGAGAGAGTTGGGCTTGTTCAGCCTGAAGAAGAGAAGACTGAGAGGGGACCTTATCAACACATGCAAATATCTTAAGGATGGAAGTCACAAGGATGGAAGCAGTCTGTTTGCAGTGGTGTCCAGCAACAGGACTAGGGGCAACGGGTGCAAACTGAAACATAAGAGGTTTCAGTTGAATATGAGGAAAAACTTCTTTACTCTAAGGTTGACAGAGCACTGGCACAGGCTGCCCAGGGAGGTTGTGGAGTCTCCTTCTCTGGAGATATTCAAAGCCCGCCTGGACGAAGTCCTGTGTAGAATGGTCTAGGAGAGCCTGCTTTAGCAGGGGGGTTGGACTAGATGATCTCCTGAGGTCCCTTCCAACCCTTGCGATTCTGTGATTCTGTGTGATTCTGTGATTTCTGAGTTCTTCTTGCAGGCCAGGACAACGACACAAGGTATAAAAACTCCCACTTTCCAAACTTTGTGTCAGTAGGTTGCATAGGACATGCTACACTGTATATGCTTCTTCATTACTGAGATGGTATTAAATAAAACTTCCGTGGCTTTCTGTAGCAGCTTTTCCAGCAAAAGTATAACTAAGCATGTAGCTAGGATATTTCACTAACCCCGCAGAGACATCATGATAAAACTCAATCGGCCAACCAGCCATGCCCCACATATGAACTTGTACATCAAAACCTTTTTGGATAAAGGGAACATGGGAGTATCATGGAGTATCATGCCCAAAACCACCAAACCAAACCCAACCCAACACACCATCACTGATAGTGTGCTGCAGGTTCTATTGTACAGTAGTCCTCCAGAGACTAGGACAGGCAAGAGTCTAACTTTATATTAATATTTGCAGAAAATATCATCTTTGTAAAATACTCCATAATCTAAAGCCTCGAAGTTTCAGAAACAAATATGTCAGTTATCAGACTGACGGGTTAAGTTACATCTGCATACCATCTTTGTGGTTTTAAGAGCTTAACCAGACATTTTTATTTTTTAAGAATATTTTGTTCGTGCATGATGTTATACAGCTACAGAATATGAAGTGCCCCACAGATGAACACATATTTTACACTTTGAGAAAATGACGGCATATAGATTAAATGATTTGCTTAGAATAATCCAAATGATAAGTAGATAAATAACAGGGACTGAAATATAAATAAGTCTTACGACACTCAGTCATCTTAGTTGGACCAAGATAACCCACTTGCTTTAAAGAAACCTGTGCTTTCTTTTTAGGAAGTTATATTCTATCTTGAAATACCCTGAAATACTTTCCTTCTATAAAACATGACAGCAAAAAGGAAACAGAAGTGTCTGAGTAATCAGTGTTAGAGAGACTACATTCTACTATATCATGAATTGCAGTTTTTACAGACATATGACAGGTATGTTTCCAAGGACAGATTTTGATTTAGGTTTTGTGTTTCTCTTTACAGGCTACGTGTTTTTTTTCATATTAGGTTTCCCACCCCACCCCCTTCCACACTAAAGGTCACAACATAATGCTTTTATCTTGTTAATATTCTACAGCTAGCAACCCGGTCCTTTTCTAGAGCTAGTTTTTTTTAATAGAAATGATCACCACCTCCAGCTTCTTGCCACAAATCTTCCACTGATGCCTCCACTCATCTCTGAGCAGAACAGCCTGTGTGGTGATTTGCCAATTTGCTTCAAGCAAAGTCAGCTGTAGTGGCCTAAACACTTTAAATGACTACTGAAGTTACACAGCTAAGTTTGACATGAATGGGAGAGACTACAGAAGCAGGTTTGCTGCCAGACTTGTGGCACTAGCCTCAGCAGAGGCAAGGATAATCAAGTTTCATGTATTGGCCCTCTCTTCCCACCAACAAAGTTGGATCTGGAAGAAAATCTCTGGCCACTTCTGAGTAACACAAGTTAAGCAACAAAACAAATTTATCTTTCAAACAAACTAATTGCATTAACACAACACACCATTTTTTTATTTAATTTAACAATTTCCCTTAGTTGTTGTTCACAGTTTTTGCTCAAGTACTTATTCTCCCTCGAGATTGCTCCAGGGTTTCAAAACAACAGATTACTGCTATGGTTTATCGAGTATCGCACATTCTGTTTGTTCACCAATCTCCTTACCTGCCAGATTTGTTCTTCACTGAGTGAAGTAAGTCTATCACTTTTAAAAACCTCTCGAAGGAGACAGTATGGGAGTGCCAGAACTTCTTCAGGATGACTCTTCAATAGCTCAGAGAGATGTTTTACTAAGAAGTCAATCACTGCATTCTCCAACAAAGTGAGGTTGAAGAGGTCCGCGAGCTTATACAGGTCCAAGTAATTAAAACTATTTAATTCCTAAATGGGCAAAGCAAACAAAATACGTCTCAGAAAACAAAAAGCAAAAAAACCCCCAAAACAGAGAACAAAACCCCCCACAGGTCTCAGATAATGAGAAAAGGTTGTTCTTTTGGAGCTGTGGAGAAGGAAGGTAATATAACTTGAAATTAATTAACACAGCCTCATTCAAAATGTATGTGTAAATGTTACCAGTGCATATGCAAATATATATGATAGTGCTAATTTATATTGCAACTGCTAAGGTTATATATGCATACAGCATCTGTAAGAAATATGGATTAGTACATAAAAGAATAAACCAGCATGATTTACACTGTATGACAAGCACGCGCATGAGTTAACAAGTGGATTAAAAAAATGTATTTGTTAACTACATTGGTTTGTTACAAAGCAATTGTTTCTTCATTATTTACTGTTTTGATTGAGCTAGAGCATCTGTGTAGTATGACTTTTAGTTCCATGAAACCTCACAAAATACGAGATGCTGAGCTACATTTTAATATGTATAAATTTATCTTCAATGACCAAAGATCTTTTTTTTTTTTTTTTTTTTCTCAACCACTGACATCAACCTGTAGGGGATGTTGGCCTCATATTCTTTCTCCCGCTCCTTCTAGCAGCGGGAAATCTGCAAAAACAAAAGCTACAGTAACTCAGTGCAGGAAGTTTTTTCCATCCTGGTCGCAGACAACCTATATTTACAGGCTAATGTTTTCAACTTGGCATCCCTTATAAATTAGCATCTGGACAGCTAACCACTGCTACTCTAGACCATACACTCTTCGGGGGGAGGCCAAGAATTGATCTGTATTAGGGAAAAGCACCCAGGACGCCTGGGAAATAAGCACGTTAACCTGTTTTCTCTGTTCTTGCTGTATGCTCACACTTCTCTTCCTCTCCCCTCCGCAATCCCAGTTCTCATCTTCCAATTTACGGCATTGCTCCCTATCAGCCGCCTTCTCCTTGACCAGCTCCATGTGTGAAAATGACAAGAAGTCTTGTCAGTTTCACTTTGCCGGTTAGTTAACATAGGGACTAGAGCAGGAAAGAGAAACAGACTAAATTAAGTCAATTTCACTTTCACTGCTCTGCTGGATGGAATGGCAGCACCAAATGAAACTGACAAGAAATCTTGTAAATGTCAAATGAGCTGCACGGCTGGCAGATAGAGCAGAGCAACAGGGAAGATGGGAAAGTGCGAAGAGGGGGTTTTTTGGAATGTTTTATGGACTACATCTTGAACGTGTGAATTGGGTGGCTGTCCCAATGACTGTGGAGCTGTTTATGCATATGCAATGGAGAGTGGAGAAAGAATTTTTTTCACCTGCTTAGAGGAGTCAGTACTGGAAGAAACTGAATCAAATTCCTGTGGAGGCTCCTGCTCGTTACCTCATCTCCCAGTCTGAACGGCACACCTTCCCTGGCAGGCTTGTACATTAAAGATAAATCCTATGCATGATCTACTTAAACTGCTGCATAGGAGTTTCACATTGTTTTCTTGGAAAAACAAAGAAAAGTTCTTTACATCATCAGAAAAAGCACTATCAGCCATCATCCCAAAAGCCAGATATACTAGTGTCAGTTCCTCTTCATGCTAACATAGAGGAGGTAAGGATAAATCCTCCCCAGTTGCAGAAAGAAAGAGAAAGGAATGAATTTTACATGAGAAGTATCTGGTCTGTGTGCTTGCTCGGTGATTTAATATCTGCAGATCACAGATGGTACCTCACACCACCACTTCTGTGATGGCCATGCAATGGTGGCAACAACGCACAGGAGTATAATCAAAGTAAACATCACGGCATTTGACAAGCAACTACCATGGTTTATCGTCCCTGGTTTGGAAGACTATCTTTTCAAAGAACTCCCTGATTGAATGAATGCCAAACATCCAGAAAGAAATTTAGAAGAGCTCAGTGTATATTTATTGAGCTCTTTTGTAGCCAACAGCTATGTCTGTGGAGGATTAAAATAAACAAATAAATAATCAAGCATTGTGATCTAAGGATCAACAGCCCAACTAAAATACAGGCCTGATCAAACCCCACTAAGCGTCAGTGGAGAAGGACAGCTGGCTTTTGGTGGACTTCAGAAGACGACAACACTGGAGATACCATAATAAAATCTTTCCTCATTAGAGAGAAACATTAACATGACACACAAATGTGGTTTCTCCCCAAAGTCCTCATATTTTCAGTGAAATCTGAAAGACACTGGTAAGCCTTCATTTTTGTTTTGGGTATTTTTGATGATCCCCTGAACTCCTCCATCCCCTCAAATCAACACCAGTTAAAGTTTTTTATGAAAGCTGCCATACAGTTGAAGTGGCCAAATACAGTTATGGATGGATAAATAAAATCTCAGTGGTTGTTTATTTACAGTATTATTTATTTTTATTTGTATGTGTTCACTTCTTTCAGATGCTTATTTATTTATGTGTCTATTTATTTGTTACGAGGGTTTATTTGTTTACTTATTTTCATTGGTAAGCTTCAGAGGATTTTTGATGCTTCGCCTAACATAATGTGTTAGTGACCTGCTGGACTTGCCATTTACTGCTTGATGAATATTGCAAGCATATTCTGTTAAAACTAGCCCTGGCCTGTAATCAGAAGCATTTGGGTTTGGTTTTGTAAGGTTAGAGCTGATCTACAGGTTTGTATTTCACAGCCAAAGAAGCAAGTAGTGCATTAGCTTTTACAAATGAAAATTATCAGACTGTCATACCAATATTCAAACCAAAATTATGCAGTACTATACATTACTGTCTCTGTGATGATACTAGAGGGCAAAAATGTCACACTGTTTGCAAGATGTATACCACAGATCAGATAACTTAGCTCTTCATATGTGGTAAGACTTTCAGAAACATCAGACTAAAAAATACAGTATGTAAGTTAGTTGCCAAAAAAAAAAAAAAAAAAGCACCTTACCTTCCAGCTTTAAAAAAAAGCCATCAGGAAGTTATCAAAGCAATCACTGTCAACTCATTTGGATTGATTTTCAAACAAAACTCTTAACTGAACTAAAAACTTTGTTAAAAATGAAATAGCTTACTATAAAATTAAATTTAGGTGTGGTCATGAGTAAGAGTTCTGGCAGTCTCTTGTTTTCCACAGATTTTGTTATATTGTGTTAAAAGAACAGCTACAAAATTTAAAAGTCATGTGCAGCTTTCTTCTGGTACTGTATTGCAGTATATGTTCTTTAAAAACAAGCCTGTTGTATTGCATATGTAAATTATTGAAACTTTTAACCTTGTTTTTATAAACTTCTAAATATATGCCACCTATCTTTTTTGAACTGAAGGATGAAATATGAACACAAGCAGAACTGTCACTAAGAGCTGAAGAGAATTAGGGAAAGGTAGCAATCCTATCTCTTCTAATATGATGTATGTTACACTGCTGAAACACATTCAGACTAAGAAAATACGTGTAAATTCATACATACAGATCTTACAACTAACATGAAATAGTTCTAAAATCTCACAGTAAGCTCAAACCAATTTAATAAATGGCCAAATTATTTATCAGTGTCTACTATCTTTGATCCTATGCATTCTACTTCCTATACGTACTCCCGCTTCCCTCCTCTTTAAGTAAGAGAATCCACTGTTCTATACTACTGGTCTTCCAATTCAGTAGCATCAACCTTTAGATGCCAAGCCAATTTAACAATGAGCTGACATTTAAAACCCTCGTAAAAGAAAATCAGGTTTCCAAACAAACATAATCTGAAAGACGACGATATTAAATATTCAAAATAAATGATATGGCATTGTTGATGTTTTAATACAGAGATGTATTTTAATATAGAGATATGATAAATTGTCAAACAGGAATAATAGGTATAAACACTGTATTTAAATTACTCCCAAATCCATCTTTATTCGTTTGTACTTTAAAGAATAATTGCCTTGCACAAGCCACAGAAAAGGATGTAAGTAACAGATTGATAAATTAGAGTTAATCATAACCAAGTACACAGCAGACTACAATATACTTCTATTCCTCTGCTCTGTGTTATAAATAGCAGAAAAAGCACAAGGAGAACTAAGGGGAAAGAATGCATTTCTTTATGACCTTATTTGAAAGATAAACTCCTTGGGGAAATACAATTTATTCAGATTATCAAGACCCTGCTGTGCAAATCTACAGTCTGGGAGCACACTACAGAGATCAAACAATATTTACTTTATTCTGTTGGGTATAAAAGCTTTTAATGAATGCATAATTAAGACAGAAAAAGTATATACAGCTTTAGAATTCCACTGCCAAGCCAAGCCATTAATACCCAGAGTATCGTACCCAGTTGTAACTCCACCTGCTTCCTATTTAGATTACAACACTGTTATAAATCAAGGTATTAAATGACTAGCCCTGCTGCTGTAACATAGAAGAGCTGCATGGTGACACTATTTCCCCTTTTCCTAAACAGGGTTCAGCCTCTTTAAAGCAAAAAGCAAGTGTGAGGTTCTGGGACAGGGACATGTTTATTCAAAATCCTTAAGCAGCACCTAGCACAACGGGGTCCTCCAAGTTCTCTACTATGTTAAATACTATGAACCAGCTGCACCATTCAGAAGAGAACCTTGACATAAATCATAGCAAAAAGAGACTAAATAGAAAAGGGATAGTAACAAAATTAAAAGTTGTAGTGATAAAAGTATACTTATCTGACAGCAAAAGGGATCAACACAATTTTAAGAGAAAAGAAATACGGTTCTGTTGGTTCTAGCTCTTCCTTTCTATATCAAAGGTTCTAGTTCTGCAAAACTTCACACATTTAACTAAGAACTAACAGATCATGCATGTACTCAACAGCACAGCAACAGACATATCTATTTGACACTAAGCATAATTGCAAATACTTCAAAAACTATATTTTAGATCTTACTTGAAATTTTCCTCCCCTAAACACCAAAGCCATCCAGTTGAACCATGAAAGACATTTTGCTGAAGCCTGGACACAGTGGAACAGCTGGGTCAGAATTT